TACTTACTCTTCCTGTTCTTGTTCTCAGGTGAGGTTTCATTGCACCCTGACTGGTGTCATGGATGAATGGGGATTGATGGGTACCAATACTCTTCTGCCTTCATCCTGGCTCCTAAGTGGACTGCCACACTTAGGATGGGGAATATAGGAGTCCACAGGGGTATTGTTCCAAGACCCCAAGTGGATGCCTGAAACCATGAGTACTAACCGGGCCCTGTGTATATTATACTATGTTTTTTTTTCCATTTGATAACCAAGAGGCCTACTGAGCACTCGATGTCATGGGAGGGTAGCGCATGCAGTGTGGATACACTGGCCTAGGAGATGCATGAGGGATGGTATGTGATTCTATCGTGTTGCTCAGAACAGCATGCTACTTAGACCTTATGGCTCGGCGCGGTGGCTCACACCTGTAATCCTAGCACTCTGGGAGCCTGGGGCAAACTTGTATGTTTACTTCGGGAATTTTCCATGTAATATTTTTAGGCTGTGGTTGGCACGGGTAGCTGAAACCACAGAAAGCAAAACCACAGATAAGGGTGGACTACCACAGATGTGCTAGGGTTCCTGATGTTTGAGGAATAGGGGCTGAGCCTAATGTTGCCTTAACACCTCTAATTCAGGTACCAGCCAGACAAGAATCTCAGCAGGAATGGGGAAGTGCTGGTGCAAGTCCTTGAGCTAAAGTCTGTACCTGAATCACCATCCTTGGAATCTGTTTCTGATGCAGGAAACTTAAAGACTCTAAAGAGTCTGTGTCACCCTGTCAAGGCCATCTCCTCCCGGAGATCAGGCTGCATTGTCCATGGATGTGCTTCCTTGCTTGGTGAGCACTGCAATCTCTTTAGGGTATTTTAAAACTGACAGCATGGAGTGGAAGTGTGTGTCTTTGGTAACTAAGGAGGAGTCTTTAAAGTTGTGAAGCTATTGTAGCCCTTGAGATGGCAGTTTGGTGGGTGGTGAAGCTGTTCTCTCTCACCTGGACCCTTTTTCAGTTTTCCTGCTGACAATCCTGTGCCTGATACTCCTCCTTGACTGTAACAATGCAATGTGTATTTTCTTTTCTTTTCTTTTCTTTTTTTTTTTTTTGAGACAGGAGCCTCAAGCTGTCCCCCTGGGTAGAGTGCCGTGGCATCATAGCTCACAGCAACCTCCAACTCTTGGGCTCTGCGAGTCTCCTGCCTCTGCTTTTCACCCTGAGTGAGTGAAATCTGCATGCCTCAAAGTCTACTAAACACTCTTTGCTGGACCGAGGAATAAAAAAGGGAGTTGTTATAATCCATGGATCATTCACAGATAACTCCCCACTGTCTCTGCCCGACACCCCACACTCAGTAATTTCCTAGTGGCATTTTTCCGTACCTGTGTCTTCTGGGACATCCAAGAAGTTACCCAGTGGTGACAGCATTGAGCGCACAACCAAGCAACCTGGAGCCTCCCCTCCCACACGGCTGGGCGTCTCTTCTAGACCTCTGTGGTGGCTTTGCCCACAGGTCCCAGCTTTGCCTGTCCTCCCACGGACGAGCATCTTCGTGAACGTCTACTCGATGATGCAGTTGACTGTTGAGGCCTGGGCCTGGTTTGGAGTCTGGATGGTGATTGGTGAGTGGATTTCTGGAAAAAAGAGGCCTTTTGGGTGACTGAGCCCAACACTCTACCTACCCTTTCCCTAAAACTGTCTTGGAGACTGAGGTAGGAGCCCTGCTGGGATTTCTAAGTGGGGGAGCAGCTCCATTCCCATGCATGGCCTGATTTCCCTCCTGGGATTTGCTATCTATTTTGGTTATGGGATTTGACATGGCTTAGAGAAAAATGATTGGCAGCCAGCAGCCTCTACCTTCCAAACTTCAGAGAACGTCTCTAGTACTGAAATCAGTTAACTGCAGAAAACAGCACTTGGGAGCTGTCTCTGGATCAAGAAGTTTGGGCCTCAGTGGAGTGTGAAGGTGGGATGCATGGAGGGCCCTGTGTCTACTGCCAGTGAGCAAAGCGCCTTTTTAAAACAATGTTTTCATTTTTTTAATTGACAAAAATTGAATTGTACATATTTAGGGCATATATGTTTATATATATACACATTTTGGAATGCCTAAATCAAGCTAACACATATCTATTACTTCACATACTTTTTTTTTTTTTTGAGACAGAACCTCAAAGCTATCCCCCTGCGTAGAGTGCTGTAGCATCACAGCTCACAGCAACCTCCAACTCCTGGGCTCAAGTGAGTCTCCTGCCTCAGCCTCCCAAGTAGCTGGGACCACAGGCACCTGCCACAATGCCTGGCTATTTTTTGGTTGCAGCCATCATTGTTGTTTTGGCGGGCCTGGGCTGGATTCGAACCTGCCACCTTAGGTGTATGTGGCTGGCGCCTTAGCCACTTGAGCCACAGGCACTGAGCTGACCTCACATACTTTTTTATGGTGAAATATTTATTTTTTTTTTTTGAGACAGAGTTTCACGATGTTGCCCCTGGTAGAGTGCCATGTCATCACATCTCACAGCAACCTCAAACTCCTGGGTTCAAGTGATTCTCTTGCCTCAGCCTCCCAAGTAGCTGCGACTATAGGCACCCACAATGCCTGGCCATTTTTGTTGTTGTTGTTATTTAGCTGGCCTGGGTCGGGTTTGAACCCGCCACCCTTGGTGTATGTGGATAGTGCCATAACCACTGTGCTTTGGGCGCTGAGCCTATGGTGAAATATTTAAAATTTATTTTCTTCCAGGCTGAGCAAGAGCAAGACCCTGTCTCTAGAAAAAATTATTGGCTCTGCGCCTGTGGCTCAAGTGGCAAAGGCACCAGCCACATACACCTAAGCTAGTGGGTTCGAATCCAACCCAGACCCACCAAACAACAATAATGGCTACAACCAAAAAATAGCCGGGCATTGTAGTGGGCACCTGTGATCCCAGCTACTTGGGAGGCAGAGGCAGGAGAATCCACTTGAGCCCAGGAGTTGGAGGTTGCTGTGAGCTGTGATGCCATGGCACTTCACCCAGGGTGATAGCTTGAGGCTCTGTCTCAAAAAAAAAAAGAAAGAAAGAAAGAAAAAATTATGTTGGGCAACACAGCAAGATCTCATTTCTATAAATATTAAGAAAAATTATTAGCTAGGCATGGTGGTGTGCATCTGAAATCCCACCTATCCAGGAGGCTGATGTGGGAGAACTTGCTAGAGCCCTGGAATTTGGGGTCACTTTGAGCTATGATTGTTCCAGTGCACTCCAGCATGGGTGACAGTGGGAGAACTTTCAAAAAAAAAGTACTAAACCAGTGGTTCTCAACCTTTCTAATACTGCAACCCTTTAATACAGTTCCTGTGGGTTGTGACCCACAGGTTGAGAACCGCTGTACTAAAGCCTAGTCCGGAGACATTTAAGACCTGAATCTGAGCCTGGCAACCTTTTCCTGATGTTCCTTGACCTTCATCCCCCAAAGGGTCTAAATCAACCCAACACTAAAGTAAATGTAACCCAAGGACTTAAATAGCTTTAACTGCATTGAAACTCTATCACTGAAGGAAGTCTACCAAAAGCCCCACTTAAATCCCACACCATGGATCCTTTGCCAAGCTTTACAGGACACTCCCAGGGTCTAACTCCCACCATCCCAACTCTGTGCCAAATGTTTTCCCATTGGCTTTAGCAACTGCCCTACATCTGCATTGTGATCTCATGAGCATTCTGCCCCTAACCTAGCTCTCGAAGGATCCCCTCCCAGACTTTACCCTTTTAGTCTCCCAGTACGCATCCTGGAGCTCCAGCCATTCCTTCCCACGTACAAGGCCCACCTGGTACCTCCGGGTGCCCACGAGCCCCTCTATCTTTTCAAACTCATTCCCACAGACTCTTGTCCTCCCCCATCTGTATTTTCAGATTCCTACTATGAATGCTAGTCTTCTTCCTAAGGTAATCCTGCCATCACTCCACAACCATCTTTGGATAGCTCAGGCCCCTCCTCTACCTATGCCAGCAACTCTACTGGGGTGCACCCCTGGGCCCTGCCCCTTCTCCAGGGAAAGCCCACTCCCCTCCCTTCCTGTCCCTTCTGGGGGATACCTTTGGAATTTGGTAACAGTACAGTTTGCTGGCATAGCTTCCTCCTGAACAGGTCATGTTTGAATATTCAGAGTCGGGCTCATATGATTTTATTCTTTATTAATATTTTTAAATAAATTGACAATTGGATTACATTTACAGATGTTTTACACCATTTGATGTTTTATGTATACAATATGGAATGATTAAAATCAGCTAACATATCCATCACCTCACTTTTTTGTGGTGAGACATTTGAAATTTACTTTTATTGTGATTTTCATTTTAGCTATTCTGGTAACTGTCCAATGATGACAAGCACATTGTGGTTTCACTCTGAATTACCTAGATGAGTAATGGTGTGCAATACATTTTCACTTACTTGGCTATTTGATGATCTTTTCTTTCGATGTGCTTAACGAAATTCCCATTAATAGATTTGATCTTGGCTTGGTGCCTACAGCTCAGTGGCTAGGGTGCCAGCCACATACACCGAGGCTGGCAGGTTCAAATCCAGCTTAGGCCTGCCAAACAATAACTACAACCAAAAATAGCTGGGTGTTGTGGCAGGTGCCTGTAGGCCCAGCTACATGGAAGGCTGAGGCAAGAGAATCACTTAAAGCCCAAGAGTTTGAGGTTGCTGTGAGCTGTGATACTACAGCACTCTAACCAGGGCGACAGCTTGAGACTCTGTCTCAAAAAAAAAGAAAATAAAACAGGCTTGGCGCCTGTAGCTCAGCAGCTAGGGCACCAGCCACATACATGGGACCTGGCAGGTCCAAATCCAGCCCCAGGCCTGCCAAACAATGACAACCACAACCAAAAAATAGCTGGGTGTTTTGGCAGGCTTCTTGTGAGGCTGAGGCAAGAGAATCACTTAAAGCCCAAGAGTTTGAGGTTGCTGTGAGCTGTGATGCCACAGCACTCTACCAAGGGCGACAAAATGAGATTCTGTCTCCAAAAAAAAAAAAAAATACATAAAATAAAAATAAAATAGATTCTATCTTTTGTTAACTTGAATTCTTCACATTTTCTAGACTCATTTTCTAATGAGTTCCTTCATTAGGTCTACGTTGTTTCCTTCCAGTTTGCATCTTGTCTTTACCTTAATGGCATCATTTGAGGAACAACATTTTGTACTTTTCACGAGGTCTAACTTCACTTTTTATGTTTAGTGTCTTTCATGTACTAAGAAATCATTGTCTAACCTCAGGCTGTGACAATAGTCTCCTATGTTTTCCTCTAGAATTTTGATAATCTTTCCCAAATTCATTGTATCCACAGTTGTTTTTCTTGTAATAATTCACCAATGGCAACACTAATGGTAATGATCATAAGAACAACAGTTAATATTTACTAAGATTACACAATATTCCAGTTACACTGTCAAGGACTGTACATGTACCAAACATTTAATTTCCACAATAGCAGTCTTCAGTAGATGTGATTATCCCTATTTACAAATACTGCACATAATGTGCATCTGACAAGTAATACACAGAGGTAATGAGCGGGCTGCCCAGTGTCTCACAAGGAGGAAAGCAGTGGGAAGGTGATAGCAATTGGTAGGGTAGGTGCTAGGACTAAAGGCCACACTCATATTAGAGCAGAGTTATTCTCTAGAATAAATGTGAAATGGAATGGTCTTGGTAGGCTTCTAGGCATCTGTTATACTAACCTATGCAGTAAAAACATCTACACTGAGAACGCTGATTAAGAAAAAGAGTGATTTTTCCACTCTATAAATCTGCCTAAAGTATGACTGCTGATATTCTACAAGCAGAAGAATGATCAGCAAAGGCTTTATGTTAAACTGTATCACAGATTTTCCTCATGTCGAGGAAGGAATGAATGTAGTTTAGAGGCCGTTATACATCCTTTGTACTGCCGCCCCCCCTTTTACCTGAGGGGGATAGATTCTAAGACTCCTGGTGGATGCCTGAAACAGTAAATAGTACTGTTTTTTTTCTGGCACATATATACTATATACTATGTTTTTTCCTGTACAAACATATACAAAGTTTAATCTATAAATTAGGCACAGAGATTACAACAATAAAATAGAACAATTATAACAATATAGTGTAATAAAATCATGTGAATGTAGTCTGTTTCTCTCTCAAAATATAATGTACATCTTAGCAACCTCAGCATATGATTTTTTTCCTTTCTTTAGTAAGTTGAGAACTTTTACCTTTTCATTTAAAAGGAAGCACTTTATGGCTTCTCTTTGGCATACTTGATTTGCCAGCATCACAACTCTTGAGCTTTGGGGTTATTATCGAGTAAAGTCAGGGTTACTTGAACACAAGCACTGTGACACCACGACAATTTGATAACCAAGGCAGCTACTAAGTGATCAGCTGGGCGGGTAGTGTACAGCATGGATGTGCCTGGCCAAGGGATGATATGCCTGGCCAAGGGATGATTCACGTCCCAACTGGTTGCAGCAGGACGGCATGAGATTTTATCACACTACTCAGAAGGGTGTGTGATTTAAAACTTAGATAGTTTTATTTCTGGAGTTTTCCAGTTAATATTTCCAAACCCAGGTTGACCGCAGGTAACTGCAGAAAGCAAAACCACCAGTAAGAGGGGACTACTGTATTCAAAGGTTTTTCAACTGTTATGAGCCCTCTGATGTTCTCTAAGATGGTTTATATTATTATATACCTTTCCACATTCCTTGCAGTCATACGATTTTGAGTGAGTTTTCTGATGCTGTGTAAGCTGATGGCCATGACTAAACGACTTCCCACATTCTTTGCATCCATAGGGTTTCTCCCCTGTATGAATTCTCTCATGTTTAACAAGGCTTGACCCATAAATAAAGGCCTTCCCACATTCCTTACATTTATAAGGGGTTTCACCAGTGTGAATTCTCTCATGTTGAGTAAGGTGATAGCCACAATTAAAGGCCTTCCCACATTCTGTACATTTATACGGCTTCTCACCTGTATGAATTCTCTCATGCTTAACCAGACTCGAACCCCAACGAAAGGCCTTCCCACATTCCTTACATTCATGAGGTTTCTCACCAGTATGAATTTTCTGATGTTGAGTAAGATAATTGACCCTAGTGAAGGCCTTCCCACATTCCTGACATTCATAGGGTTTCTCACCTGTGTGAATTCGCTTATGCTGAATGAGGCTCGAACCACAAATAAAGGCCTTCCCACAGTCTTTACATTCATAAGGTTTCTCCCCACTATGAATCCTCTTATGCTGAATCAGTTTATACACACGACTAAAGGTTTTCCCACAGTCTTTACATTCATAGTCTTTCTCACCAGTATGAAACCTCTGATGCTGAGTGAGCTCATCACCACGTCTGAAGGCCTTTCCACAGTCTTTACATTCATAGGGCTTTTCACCAGTGTGAATTCTCTTATGAATAACAAGGCTGGAGCCCCATCGAAAGGCCTTCCCACAGTCTTTACACTCATAAGGCTTTTCACCAGTATGAATTTTCTGATGTTGGGTAAGCTGATTACCCCAACGGAAGGCCTTCTTACAATCTTTACATTCATAAGGTTTTTCACCAGTATGAATTTTCTGATGTTGACTAAGTTGATAGCCACGACTAAAGGCTTTCCCACATTCCTTACATTCATAGGAACTGTCCTTAATCTGAAGTCTCTGTTGTGATCTCGGAGGTGTACTTTCTCTTTCTCTATTTGGAGGCCTTTTTTCATAGGTGATTATCATTTGATTGATATATCTCCCTCGAGAACGCTGTGGTACTTCTGGTGTATCTTCACACATGCGGTTGAGGCCAAGGGATTTACTTTTTTCATCTGAATTCTTTTTGGGAAAATTTCTTCCAGGAATATTCTTTTCTGTAGCTAAACCCTTGGCCTCATATGTTGCTGACTCCAAATCTGGAAAAAAGTAACATATTTTGTTCCCTTTAGGGGAAACAAAAATAAACCTAACCATGAACCAAAAACTTGTCAAGTATAAATAAGTCTCTAGCATAGCAAATGTGAATCACCTAGGGCTCTTGTTAAAATACAAGTTCTACTTCTCGTACCACAATACTTAATGAGGATACACTGGAGCCACTTGTTTTAAAGTCAAACATGAAAAAGATTCTATTAGTCCTATTTTTACTACCAGTTGACAAAGAATTTTTTTTTGAGACAGAGTCTCACTCTGTCACCCTGGGTGGAGTGCTGTGACATCATAGTTCACAGCAACTTCAAGGTCTTGGACTCAAGCAATTCTCTTGCCTCAACCTCTCAAGTAACTGGAACTACAGGCTGCTGCCACAACACCCAGCATGCTACATTTCTTTTTAAAGAGATGGGGGTCTTGCTCTTGCTCAGGCTAGTCTCAAACTTGTGAGCTCAAGTAATCCACCTGCCTCAGCCTCCCAAAGTGCTAGGATTACAGGTGTGAGCCACCACGCCTGGCCTCAGTTGACAAAATTAAGCAAAAAGAATTAGAAAGGTAAACCTTAAAAATAAAGTTGGAGGCTCGGCGACTGTGGCTCAAGCGGCTAGGGCGCCAGCCACATACACCTAAGGTGGCGGGTTCAAATCCCCAGCCCGG